CTATGCTATAATAATCTATTTACAATCATATTTGTCAAGTTATGTACGTTTCAAATATGATGCGTTCTGGATGTTAGCTATCTAGCATACTAAAGTAGGTCTAGCATACCAAATTCATGCATTTATCCAAAACTAAATTAATTTTATATTGTAGAAAACCAGTGATTCCAAACTTTTGAACAGTAGTGTAGCTAGTGTAAGTTGGAGCATATTTCTCTTATACTGAGCATAGAATTTACATACTCAATCATGCAATGCATTGGACACTAAGAAGCAAGGTAAATGCAGCACAATAAAGAAAGGAAAAATGTCTGTTGAACCAGTCACAGATTTGGACCTATGCGCCCTACACTTGTCATCCTGAAATGTGAGAGCGTCAATGTTATGTTCTGCTTGCACATGAAACACAAAGTTTGTTGAAGAGTGGGCTAAAATGGACCATTAAGAGTTACATATATAACCAAGAATTAGAGACAAAATAGATAATGTATGAGTATTTTTTGTATAAGAAGCTTAACATTAAAAAAAGAATTTCCATTTTAGATGAATGGGCTGATTTAGCTAGTTTTTAGCTGGTCATTGTTTTAAAGATCTCTGTTCTTTGTTCATTAGCCAGCGGGTGATTTGTTGACTTCTTCATAGAAGCCTTTTTGATTGATTAAATCTGTCTGGGGGGGCAGCTCTGCAGAGCACAGATGTCAAAATAAGCGACCCTCTTGCTAGTCAGCATTGTAGTGTCCTGAATCATTTGTGTCAGAATTGTGGCAAATTAACTGGGAAAAACAATCCTGCTAGCTGCTAATAGCGTTTCCCTAGCTAGGTTGTTTTGTTTGTGTTATTGATTGTACTTCTGATGTTAAAAGAGCACAGACTATAGGAATTTGTTGGCAGGTTGTAGTGGGATACCCTTGTCGCTACCTGATCTTCAAGCTCTGCTTGATTGGCACTTTGCATGAGCACCACTGTCACGGATGCTATTAGTCAAGCTACAGTGTTCCCATTCCTTTTCTTAGCTAAAATCTTCTGAATTCTGCCGTCATTTTGGCTTAGCATGAGAGCATGTCTATGGCTAAATTTCACGTTTAAGCATCCATACAGGCTAAAAATGTTTACATTCACAAAGCAAAACTTCTCAAGTGGGTAATTAAACCTTAAAGCTATATATTTTCTCTGGTAAACAATTAAATTATCATGCCAACAGAGCATGAAAGAGTGCAAAATATACACGTAACTACTGGGAAATATGCGGTGGTGAACCATGAGTATTAAAGCTAGGCCTTCAGTTTTGGCCATAAATGTAAAAACATGGTCAAATTATTAGGAAAAAAACCCACCTCAACCATAGATTGTGAGCGCTGAACTTATGGCCATTCACACAGACAATTTCTGAAAAGGCCTTAGTTAGGTTCTAGGCACCAGAGGCACAAGAGCAAACGTTTAGGCACCAAATTGTAACTTCTGTAGCAGTCAAGGTGGAACAGAAAGTGTGTTGGCACCTGAATGTAACTGTTACACTGTTTAAGGTGGGACAGAAAATTTGAAAAGGGCAGTTCTATATTAAACACAGACATTTGAAGCTTCTAAAAGACATTGCACGTTTTACTTGAAGCTTGTGATAGATATATTAGCATATATATTTTACATTGTAGCAGTTTCACAGTGATTTAGTAGAGAGCCTGCCTGCTGTAGAGCTGCTGCCACTGTTTTCCATTTCAATCAAAATGTGATTGGTTGATTCCTCTGTCACTTTGTTAATTATTCTGATAGTTATTGTGATTAGCAATTATGTTGAGCACATTAGGCCTCTTATTCAGTGCTTAAAGTCCTAACCAATAGGAGAACTCAGAAGCTATATCTAGCAAGAATCCTAGTAAGCAACACCAAAAGTTTAACAGGTTGTCCTGAGATGTGTCTTCTTGTTACAAGATTACATCTGGCCCTGTCCTGAAAACGGTCTTGTGTCAGAAGGAAATTAGTACACTTTTATGGGTGTGAGTTCATGCAGTTGGGTCTCGTTTGAGAGTCATTCCACAGGATGTAATGCTAGTCTGGCTGCCCTGCTCTTTTGTAATGTAGACTAATAGTCTTTCCCTTGGTGACTGCTGAATTAAGAGATCAGCATTCATGAAGCTTTGGCCTAGTCTGAGCACACATACACACATACGTCTGTCCGTATCCAGTGGGAGCATGTCATTAGTATGCAAATCTGCAAAGACCTAGTTATAACAATGACCTCTTCACCTTTCTTACTCTGTCTGTCTCTCTCGTGCTCCGATATCAGCCACATGCACACGCACAGCGACACACATTGCACTCCGCCGTCACTGTTCGGCAACACGTTCTAATGAGGTGATGACCAACCACTTGTTATAATTGCTTTAGACTCCTTTTAATTTTCAAGCTTATTAATCATATGTAGAGTTATTTAAAATAGCATAAATTAATCTTAGATTAAAAAGCCTATCACAGACTCGAAACAATTAAAGAGTAAGGTGAGATTTCCCCTGGGTTTGGCAGTTTTATTTTAATGGAGAATTCAGGTGATTATCACACTTTGATATGGGGCTGTGATTAATGTAGCCACACTTTTAAATGAGATTTTTTTTTCCCCCCGTCCGACGGCGTAGAGGTAAGCAGGAGCTGATAATGACCTAACTAAAAGAGTATTTATTCTGCTTTTTCCTCTCTTAATAACTTCCCCTGCATGGGTGCAATGTTAGCAGCAGGTGGGTTAATTAATGGAGGTGCTGTTCCTGGCATGCTCCAAGACACACACGCTAATTCTTTCTCTTTTCACCCGCATACACACAGACACACTCTCAGAACAGAGGGACACACAGGTGGTGGGGTGTGTGTTTGTGTGAGTTTGGCCTGTCACAGTCCAGCCAAACAAGCAGGTGACCGTCCGAGCTCTGATTTATTGCCGCTTGTCATCGTCCAAGCGCTCGCGTCTGCTTGCTCTGATCATTGAGTGTGTATGTACGGACGCATGTTATTTATATATTTCCTTCCTCCGCATGCGCCTCGGCGTCCTCTCCTTGACTGCGTCTCCTCCCAAGCGTGCTCTCAACGCTCTTATTCTCCACGCTGGGTCAAAAACCCGGCCGCTCTACAGGGTCGAACCCTCGTCCAGGCTGGCAGGGTCACAGCAGAGAGCCGGGTTCAGCTCCGGAGTTGCATATTACTCCTCTTCATCTGGGCCCGGAGCTGGTGTAGGCTCGTGTAGGCCTGCGCCCGGGCCCAGTGATTGATGAGATGGGTGCCTAGTACGGCTCGCCCTCAGCACGGGCCTCTCCAGAACCCGGAGCTGAGAGTGATTAACCTCACTGTGGCACAGACACAGGCTCACCATTAGCAGGACAGCACGATTGATGGGCCTGCTCTGTCCTCACAGAGAGAGAGAGTGTTAGGGAGAAACACAGCATACACTTAGCAAAAAGGGTTCTGTGTAGTGTTAAAAACATTAATAGTAGTAGAACCCTTTTGGTGCTGTATAGAACCCTTTTTAAGGCTTTCTTTAAATAACTGTGCACAACAGCTTCATCATAATAATAAGAAGAAAAAGAATGACCCAGATGGTATTATTAGTTTTCAAGTTATTATTGTTAGCTGTATAGTGTCATATGTATATTATATGAACATTTTATAACGAATCAACCAAGAGAAATGGACCAAAGGTACTTGGAATAAAATCTTCTTATGTTAGCGTACATTAACAATAAGAATGTTTGTTTTTCTCTTCTCCCATAAAGTTACCATTTCAGTATAGGTTTTGTTATAGCAGGGATAACGTGAACTTGAGAACTAGTACTTATAAACCGTATTGTGCAGTGATTAGGTTAAGGAATTGTTGATAGTGTATATGATTGTATGGATTTCAATAGATAGCTCTCTAAGAAAAAACCCGTTGTCAATGCAGTGGAACTCTCAAGGGTGTGTCTTCAGTACCTTTAGTTAGGGAACATAATTATACCAAAATCCACTGAAATTATTATTATTTTTTTCTAAGTTGTATTGACTCCACCTATCCTGTTTTGTCTCCAGGCTTTTTTTATTATTCTGTTTTAATTGTCATGAAAAGATACAAATATGTATACAAAGATGTAAATAAGGTACACAGTTGGACCTTTGAGGGTACATCTACATCATTTGTACCCTGAACAATGGAAAAAAGTACCTGCACTGTACCTTTTTTCCTGACAGTATATTAGATCACTTGTTCTAATTTCACTTCATACACCCCTTTAATCCTCTCTCTTTTAATTGGTATTAACCCATACAATTTAGCAGAGCACAAGTGCCTCTGCCAGAAACACCACATCAGAGCAATGAGAGAAGACACATTCATTTAAACAGAACAGTCTGTCACAGCCGATTTATCTCTAAAGTTTAAAGCCCCAGTCAGGAATTGCTGTAATTGGCCAGCCAGTGATGAGCACTGCAACAGCAGAAGCTGCTTAGTAACAACAGCACAGCCACTACAGTAGACCTATGTGTGTTTAGCATGTTCTGTATCAGAAAACTAGTGCTGTTTTCTGTATTTCTGCTTGTGATTCTGTAATAGATAGTATAGAAATTTGTACTGTTAGTAAATTTTGTACTGATACCACCTTATAAGCTTGCATACTTTTTGCAGTTTTGTTTCGTCTGAGCCCTTTTTGCACCGACGAATCACAGTGAATCTTCCTAGCTACCATGTGTGAGACACGCAAGTGAAGCCATCATTCAGTGTGTGTAGTTGGTCGTTTTCTCCACTATTACATCATATACAGCATATCTCTAGAGCCTGACAAACATCTGCGCAAGAAGTATACCAGGCCGTCACTCCGTCTCAAACTCATTTCTTGTATATCTCACTGTTAACATCCTTGTAGTTGGTCATGAGTGCAGAATGGTGGACTGTACACTATAAATCATATATATTGATTAAGATCAATATAGATCAATCAAAAATGAACTATTTTAAACCTCCATCCCTCTTTTTTTACTCTCTTCTCCAGGACCACCCCTTCATCAAGCAGTATGATGATGGCAATACAGAGGTGGTATCCATGTGGGTGTGCCGAAGCTTGGAGGACCGCAAATCCCAGCAAGCTCAGGGACTAATGTGAGGCATCATGGGAAGTGGAATCCAGTCGTCATATTTCATTCTTCACTGAGTCTTTAGGGGTATATCGGCTGAGCTTACTTGAAGGAGACCACCCGACTCCATGCACAGAGCCCAGAGGACTTTTCATTGCAGCCATTGGCTTCAATAACCCTGAATCTACAGCTTGATTTTTTTTTTGTGTGTTTGTGTTTTTTCCCCACTGCTTTAGCAAACTGCGGTGTGAATGTTTGAGAAAATGGCCTCTTTGCAGATGGACCATGAAGCGAGGGCTGCTTAAAAGGGTGATCCATAGCATTAATTTCACAAAACAGGACAGGCTAGGACACTCTATAATGCAGCATAAGCGTTTTGCAGTTTGACCCAGATGTCAGGTCATGGGAAACCCTCGTGGGTATATTTTGACAAGCTTGGACATCTTGTGCTCATACATCTGCCTCACTTTGTGCCTGATGAAGTTCATCAAGCTGAATTAACCCTGATCGGACTGCATTTGCCAAGCACTAACCTTGGGACATTTAGCACTGGGATATTTTCTTTCATGAAAGATTAGCATGATGTTAAGACATGGCACATTTCTTCTGTAGTAGACAATATTAGTGCAGTGCTAATACAGGACATACACTTGTAAACAGAAATCAGAGCAGAGCATCTCAGGAAACAAATAAATTAGCGTAATGAGTTAGCATAATGCTAATGTATCCATTCTCCTGGAGACAGTGCTAAATGATATAACGTTTTGCACGCAGTAGTTTATATTGTCTGAGGAATTTCAGTTCTACCAAATAATGGAAACCCGGTATGTAACGTCACCACTGTACAATCGTAGACAAATATTACTTAGCTATTATTTCAACTTGTGGGGAGAATTGGATTTATAACTTTCATATTTTTAACCTTTTGTTTAAGTACATATTTGAGTATGTGAATGCCAATGCCAGTATATCTTAAGTGTTTAACTGAACTGACCCCACTAATCTCTTAGGAATCCATACGGCAAATCAGCATCACCCTCCCTCCCCACTTCTCCATGTAATCATTCCACTGCAGGGGGTAAATCATTTCTGCTCACTGTTCTATTAACCACTGACAGCTGCTGACTAACGTGGCTCATATGTTACAGATGCATCTACCCGCCACATCTGCCTGTTATATTAATACTGTATGAGCGACATGTAATTATTTGTACTTTTCTTCTTTGTTTTTTAGTCCAAAAAATGAAGTAGTGGAGGCGTGGTATACACTATATGTCCAAAAGTATCCAGACACACTTTTTTTCATTTGTGAATTAAGGGGCACCCATTGCTAGCACAGGTGTTTATCTGAGCACACAGCTTGTATAATCTCCATAAATAGGCATTAGCAATAGAATGGGATGCTCTAGAGCAGTTACATATGGGCCTAAGGTCATCATGCCCAATGCCAGGCAAAGGCTAGTGGGGTATAAAGCCCCCTACTTTTCTCTAGAGTGATGAAGCATCATCCAGTACCTCTGGATGGAGTGGTGTTTGTGATCTAGTTTGTGATACCTGACCAACCAGTTTCAACATCTGGAGTACTGTGCAAAAGTCCCATCATTTATTTAGTTTCCAGTCAAAACAGCCATTAAGTACAAGTTATTCATTTTTGGGAGATATTCTGAAGAAATCTACTTGAGTAACAAAGGGGAAAGTCAAAGGAAAAACTTTCAGGAACTAAAGTTTGAGATAACTGAGCTTAACTAAAAATCTTCTTTAAACTGTACTGTTTCTTCATTGATTTAATTTCCAGTCAAAACAGCCATTAATAAAGTTTAAAAACATAAAGTTTTTCATTTTTCTAGATAATTTTCTGAGGAAATTAGGTATAAGATAATTTGCTTGGTTAAAGAAGGACAAAGTCAAAGGAAAAAACAAGAAAAGCAGGAGATTCAACAAATTAGGAGAAAAAAAGAAAATGGGTTTCCTAACAACTATGTGAAACCTGGTAGACCACCAAAATTGAGATAAACAGTACTTGAAGCTTCAAGAGAGAGAAATAAATCAAGTTCCACTCTTGCTTCAGATCTGAAAAAAAATCTACCGGTGTTTTTGTCCATCCTTGCACTGTGAGAAGACAACTCAACAATATGTCCCTGAATGACTGTTTAGCTGTCTAGAAGAGGTGACTGACAAAAAGGAAATAGATAGAAAACGTCGAATCTCTAGGAAAATAGATAGAAATGTAGAATTCTGTTCTCAGAACAACGCACTGGCCACCCTGGAGTCCAGATCTCAACATCACTGAACGTGTTTGGAACTGCTTGGATTATGAGAAGCAGAAAAAGCAAACCAACTCCTAAGACTGAAAATTGGGAGTTTCAAAAACAGTTTTCTTTGAAAAACTGAAAGCAAGTCTACCCAAAAGAATGAAGGATGTGATAAAGACAAAGAGTGGACACATTAAATTTCTTTATCCTGATGCTGAGAAAAAGAATAACTTGTACTTAATGAGACGGATTGTCTCTGCTTTTAGCACAGTGCTGTAGTGTAAAGCTTTCTGATTAGAGGAGAGTCTGTTACTATAGATATGGGAGCAAACTGCCATGTTTTTCAGAAGAAACAGATCAGTAGAAGTCTACAGACTTTTGGAAATATAGTCTATATTAAAGTGTTAAGGACACCCCACACCACTTTACATAAAAAAAGAGATTCAAAAATCAGTCACTGAGAAAATTCCAGTAAGATTTTATACAGTAGAGCATTATTTCCCTAGACTAAGGCTATTTGAAGGTTTCAGATGGGTTTTTAAACATGCTGCCAAATATTCATTCACCAAAAGCATCTTCATGTATACTGTGTGAAGGTTTCTTTTGTTAATTAGGTTTTATTTAGTATTTAGTCTTTAATCAAAGGGTTGAGCTACACTATATCCAACAGCTATTTGCTTTGTAAAAACACAGAAGTGTGGTTGTTCTGAGTTGCTCTCTGATATTGCCATCTGACCTTGGCCACATAATGCAAAGCCGTTAAAGTTTGCACACCTTGGACTTTTACTGAGTAAATGAAAACCGTTCAAAACTTTACTGCCTCTGTTGATGATGTCTTCTCAACAGTTCACTTCACTCTCTTAATATAAAAGAACTAACGGATTATTCTAGCCATTAAAAGGCTGTTTTAATGGGTGCGGTTGAAAATGCTTTTTCTGTGAAGATATTCAAAAGCGTTCCTGTATCTTTTTTTAAGTGCTTATTTATTTGTCTGAATCCATTTGTAGGTGAACAAACAGCACAAGCTTGATCATTATTGTGAAAAATAATGTGACGTTTTCTCTCCTCTATCAGCTGAAATGGTCTTGCTCTGGAAAATATTGTGGCTATAACAAGACATTAGGGTTAATATAAAATACAGCTAAGTTCAAAAATGACTTGTTCTCCTGCCGTTGTTTGAAACATCATTTCCTGCTTAGCGGGGAGAATCTCTTTTACACTGTCAGGTGTTTAAATGTGTTTGAGAAACTTAAAAATATTACAGCCTGTTTGAAAAGCAAGCTGCAGAAGGTTTTTTGAGACACCAAGCAGCTTTCCTTACACTGTCATGTTTCTGAATGAGTCATTTGTCATCAATGATCTGTTTGGACTTAGAATGAATTTGTTTATATGCTAGTTTCATTTCTTCATTCATGCACTGAGATCTTGACCTTGTCATGTTTGCACATGTGCCACTTCTACACTTCTGTCAAAGGTATCAATCGCGACTCTTCTTTATATTTTAGACTTGATATTCTTTCATTTATCTACTCATCGTCACTGTCCAAAGAAAAACAACTATTTCTAAAATAGTAAGTTTACAGGAGTGGGCAAAAACGCTCTTACTTTTTAATGTAAGTTAATGTAAAGAGCCCCCCCCCCCCCAAGTGATTTTGGAGAAAAATGGAGATACATGATTTTCTTTGGACAGCGACGCTATGCTGCAGTATTTAAAGCTCATTCACTGTTATTTACCTGTAAGCCTTAACAGTAGAGTTCCATTTGATGAAACTAAGTTAGTGGTTAGTAAGCAGCCTCATTTACTTACATACTTAAGTAATGTTTTGTTGGATTTGTACTTTTCTGTTTATTTTAAATGGTGTCACTTTGCTTGCATTTGGTTCCAAAGATGTTTTTTGGGTTCTGTTTTGTTTGATTCTATTGGCTCGCTGCCCAGACTGTTTTGCTGTTACTCATTTTTGAGGTTTAGCATTTTGTTTTAGACCAAAATGTTTCCAAAAGAGAATAGCACTTGCTAGTAGATGCCAGATGCACTGTAGGAGGTTCTACTGGGAACTCAGTATTGGAGTTATTGGACCTGATGTTGCTTAGTTGTTTACTGTTACTTTGTGCTTTGCAGTGGTTAAGCTAGTCTACCCTCTGGGTCAGTCTACCCTTAGATTCCAATGGGTCAGTGACATGACATGCTTTTTTGTGGTGTGTGTCCAAGTACATTAATTTCCTATAAAATCATTTATTAAATACACTCCATATATCACTTTATTCTACAACACCTCTTTTATGTGAAAGTATTTTTAGTGCATCAAAATAAATTCATTTTAGGCATTTATGCCTCCCAGAGTGTAATAATATCAGATGTTAGACCGTCTATCATTGCTGTCACAACAAAACCTTGTATCTCTAAAATGATAACTTTACAGTAAATGAAAACAAATGTTCTTAACATTGAATGGAAGTTCTGAGCTCTCTAAATAGGACACTTTTAAAAGTTTTTAACTCACTGAAAAATGTCTGTCTGTAAATTCTGATTTTCTCAAATGTCGCGCAGCACAACAACAAAAAGGACTTCTGGCATGCTTTTTGAGAAATGCCAAGGTTAGTTGGTCTTTCATAGTATAGAAAAAAACATTTTTGTGTCTGGTTAGGCTGGTGGTGTGATCCCAGGAAAAGCCTGAAAATGTCTTACTATTATAATAATGTTTCTTTATTTGCAAAGAAATGTAGGTGTAAACTTGAGCTCAAGGACAAAGGTTTATACAGGTGTCTAAGTACAAAGACTAGTGTATAAATGTTTTAGTAGTGGTAAATAACTCTATATTTTATTAATGTGTGGCTGCACCACCTGACTGTGTGGTTGAGATGCTTGTCTCAGTGCTAGAATTGAGAATCCTGTTTAAAAATGTATTCATACCATTATAAAAGCTGCGGAACAAATATATTGAATAGATTCAATAGCTTGAATAGATTGATCCAGATGCAAAAATGTGCATCATATCCTTTTTAATAAGAATGTTTTAAATGATCATTTTGAAAGGCCTTCTTTGTCATTGACCCATATACTGTTGAAAGGTATGTTGGAATGTCATTCTGTAGTAATTCTGTGGACATGCATAGCTGTATAGTATGTCTGAAGCTGTAGTGTTCCACTGGAATACCTCTTCGTTGCCCTCCGTCCATGTCATGAAGGGACGTGGAGGGCCCATGAGAATGAAGACGAACTGTGCTGCAGAAACCTGAGAAGGATGTCCTGTCCTATAAATCCTGCCGTGCGTTTCAGCACTGGCCTGGCCTCAGCCACACAGCCACAGCCTTTAACCCGTCAGTAGCACAAAAACAGTTGGAGAAGTGTCAGAAACTAGGGGTGGGCAATATGACAATATGTAAGTGTTATCATGATAAATTACAACTAGGGTATAGCAACTGCATAGTAACGAGTACCTGATTGGATGTCAATCCATTATGTCATCATCTTGGATTAATTGTTTTTAGATGCAAAATATTTCGTGCATCTCACTTGTAACTCATTCACGTTTGGCAGGCTTAAGAGTCTCCACAAGGGGTCACTATTAGCACTCAAATAGCTTTTGGTGCTTTGCATCAATGACAGTGTTTACCAGTTGACTTTTCCTCATGTTCCTCTATTTATGCAAATATTCATTAATTAGTTTTTGTAAAACTACTGTGTATTGTGTCTGTTCCAGTTTGCTTAAATCAGAAACGATAAATTTTGTGATGCATTGTATTGCAACGTTAGATTTCCCTGGTGTTTTGTCTAGAAACAGTATGGCAGTCCAGCCAGATGAGGTGCAGCGAGTAGCCAGGGTGCTGGACCTGTTCACGGCCATTACTGAGAGCCCTTTACCAATGTGCAGTGATTAAAATGTCACCACTTAATTTTTCAGGCCACGGAGAAGCTGTTTGCAGCAATCTGTTCCTAATAAAATAACAAAGCAGTAATCGAAAGGCTATTTTCACTTGAACACAGGAACGCCGCAGAGATCAATGTGGAAGGAGCTGATTGATCATTTCTCTCTGGCTCTAAAGCTCTAAAGTGGGATTTATTGGGGTCGTGCTTTTACACGCTGCTTACACTGTAGCACACTGGATTTCAACTGATGCCTTTATGAACCGTCTCCAGCTGAATTGCTCCCTCACTGATTTATGTTCCAATCTTTTCAATGACCTCCAGATTCAGACCTTTTTTTATGTAACCTGCTGGTTTTAAATGCTTCCTCCACTTCATGCTCTTCAGTAAGTTCATAGCGATTTCATTTATTTTAAGCCTTTCAAAGTCTTCTTTTTCTTTGTTTCAGAAATGCAGAAACCCTCCTCAAATTAAAGGGCCTGTATCACAGACTGAATTTCCCTTGCCTTGCTTTTTTAAATAATATTAAATGTGTACAGTTCAAAAATACCATTCAGTTCCCAGTCTAGACAGACCATATATGGAAAGTAAGCTTGCCTTGAATTCTTTGTTTTTATTTACATATATCCACTCATTCCGCTTATGGCAGTTTAGCCCCGCCCATTTATGCTGAAGTTTTAAGGAGTGTTTCAGCCTGGACTGCTTTTGAACACAATACAGGGCAGCCAGTCAGGACAGATGTGATTTACTTATTTACACATTTCAGGCACAGTAACAACAGCCTGTGTAAGTCTAAGGCATTTGGAGAGATTGGAAAGTGGTCCTGTAAAAATGAATTGTGGCTGTTTTTGGTACAAAAAATGTCAGAAAAGAGGACCACCGGGGGAAAGAAATAAAATATCAGAATTTTGTGGGATATGAGCCCTTTAAAACAGCTGAGCTGAGTTTAGTGGAAAACAAAGAGGCTCCGCTAGACCAGGGTTTTCCTTAGTGAGATGCCCTGTAAAAATGAATTAGAACCGTTTTGATACATAAACCCACACACATCATAATGGGATCTCAGGGAAAAAAATGAATAAAGAAAATGCAGACTATGGGCCCTTTAATGCGTGGGGTTTTGATATGTGATATGATAAATTGCACAAAAATAAGCCTTTTTTAGAATCCAAATGTGCAGCTGCCATGAGACACACCTGACACACTCAGCTGACCCTGCACTGTACAGAAGTGTACAGCGTGTGCGTGTGTGTGTGTGTGTGTGTGTGTGTGTGTGTGTGTGTGTGTGCACGTTGGATATGAACAGCAAGGATCAGGTTCCCTCCTCTCTTTTCTCCTCTTTTCTCCTCCTCTGCCCAGACAGACTCTCGATGTTATTTTTCCCACCTATATTCCGGCTAGACAGTCCTAACGCTAGAGGACAGTTGCCTGAATATAGGTGGGGGGAAAAAACAACAAATAACCTGGAGGTAATTTCCCTGCTTTATCATATTAATCATTTGTAAAATGATTGAGATGTGTCTCAAATGAGCTATTATTATTATTATATTATTATTATTATTAAGGCTTAAATATAAAAACATAAATAAGCCCTGATCTCAAAGGTATATATACATAAAGATACATATAGATATAGACTAAGACAATTCAAAAGGTAATTATCTATCTATCTATCTATCTATCTATCTATGAGGCCCATAATGCCCGTTGTTATAATTAATAAGCCGTGATTACATCATAATGAAGACCAGACCTTGGATGGTGAATCGATATTTCCATCCTAATCATTCTTTATATCGGCTACATCCTATATATGCAAATAAAACATGTTTTTAATCACGTTGTTTGAGATCGCAGCGTTAGTTGAGTCGCTCGCAGCCTGAATTCCGGAACAGCTGATGAACTAAATCTTAATTATAATGTTATAACAGGCCCATAAACAGCCCAAATTAATAATTTTTCTTTTTGTACTTTGTCATGCTATCCACCCCTTTGTTGGTCTAATGTGTCTCTAATTGGCTTTATTCAGGGACGTGTAACGCGATATCTACTGAATAACAGCATATGTTTCTGAAACACAATATTTATCATATTGATTCAATGTTGAGTAAAAACAGCCATTGATTAGTTAAAAGCATGTCACAGCGTGTTAACAAAGGCAACGGATCTTTACTCATTATTTATGAAGGAAAAAGAGGAAAGAAATGACACACTGGACACTTTATAACGCGGTAAATGTAGAGAGTCAGTGAAGGGAATTCAGAGCGCACTGACAGATCAGTGGAGATACAGTCAGTGAGCTTATTAAGTCAGTTTGCCTTCAGCTATTCAGTGAAACTCCAACAGTAAGTAAACAACAAAATGAAAAGAAAAAAATATCTGATGAAGCTTGTACTTGACAAAAAAGAAAAAAAGAAAAAAGGACTGTGTGCTCTCTCTCTCTCTCTCTCTCTCTCTCTCTCTCTCTCTCTCTCTCTCGCGGTGGGTTAGTTTTAGCTCTGAATAATTCAGAGGAAGGGGAATAATTACGGACTGAAATTGTAATTATTGTGTGGGAAATTAGAGCTGCTCTTTCTCGGCAGCGCGGCTTAAAGTTTCTCCTTCATCTTCAACACTGAGACGCTGTTTAACACACTTTAACACTGTAACACAGACAGTAACGAGCAAAGCGCTCAAACACAGACAGAGCGAGGAGTTACAGACTCAGCGGAGTTACAGACTCTGAGACCAAACACAGCCCAACTTAATATAAACTAAAAATAAAATGTGTGTGTGAGCGTGTGTGTGTGTGTGTGTGTGTGTGTATGTGTGAGCGCGTGTGAGCGCGTGCTGTATCCATGTGAATTCAGGCGTCATGCGACAAATAATAGGAAACAGTACTAAACGGTAAGATGAGGTGATGACATGACCTGACTGATACAGCCTTACATTGACTTCCCACTAAAAATGAGCATTTTTTAAAATGAATGGGCTTATATACAGCATCTCATTCGTGCACGTTTAATAGCTAAATTATTTATTTAGTTAGTTTTATAACTGCGTGTGCATGCAACTATACATAAATGTATATATGAACGTATATATATATATATATATATATATATATATATATAAACACACAAAAAACAACTTTACGCCTTTATCTGATGGCCCAGAATACAAAATAATTATGTATAACAATACATATAGTGTATAATAACAAAATATAGTGATAGTAAATTCTGCACATTTTGTAAGAATTCATCATTGCTGTTCTTGTGCTGCTTTACAGTGCAGTTTAAAGTTTAATGTAATCTAGCGGCTCACAGCTTTAGGCTCTGTATTGAACATCAGTGTCTGCGGTCTGATTAAAGGCTAAATGTTTAAATACAGCGCCGGACAGAGTGATTAATTACAGCGAGTTTAAATGACAGACCCTCTCTGCACTAACTCAGACTGAACCGAACACAACGCACATAGCCTCGGTCAAAATAACTGTTCATTCATATCATAAATATAATCAGTACTCAGCGTAGAATCTAATAAACAGTTTTTTAAATACGTGTAATTGTATATTTAATTATATGTATATCATAAATATAAAAATATTAATTGTACATGAGTACAGTGTGTTTTATGTTTGGCTCAGGCTCGTTTGTTCCTCTGTGTTCAGTGGAGTGTGTGCATGTGTAATGAGTGTGTGTAGCCTGTGTTGTTTGTCCGCGCGCTCTCATGTTACTCTGCTAAAGTCCTCCACGCTTTTCTCAAAGAGGAACAGTTTTTCCACTGTAATGTTTGAAGCTGCAGATGGCTGTGTGAGTGCGCGCGCTCCGGGGCTCAGTGGGGTTAACTGGGGGGCATTGATGGGGCTGTAAATAGTTAATATGGGTGTATAGTGTTTCAGCTCTCCGCCTGTGTGTGGTGTTGTGCTGTGGCTCGGTGTGTACTCGCTCTCTCTGCCCTGTGGGGGTAAATAAAAGTGCCCCGTCTGCCTGCAGGGGTGGAGCCCCACACAGTGGCCGCAGGAGTTTTAGGGTTCTGGGGGCAAAATCCCACAGCAGAGTTTAACTGGGGGGCGTGTTATCTGATCAGCGCTTAATAACAGGATCCACACAGGAGATTTTACTGTAGGATGGACTCTGATTCACTGAAGAGGAAGTCAGGACTGTGTGGGGCGTTTAAAGGAGGATAATCACAGCACGACCACTCAGCTCCTCTGCTTTATATATTTCATATGATGTTTATATGCAATGTTTTAAATAATTGAAAGTAAATATTATTATAAATTATTTACATCATATTGTAAACATATATAAATCATAAAACTTCAATATCATGTATAATGTTTACAATATGCTTTAAATCATTTATAATAACTAATATTTACTTTGTTATTTAAATAGATAGATTGATAGATCGATGGATAGATATTTCATATTAAACATTAAACATAAAATGTTTTGTTTAAAATAAAGTACATATATATATATATATATATATATATATATATATATATATATGTATATATATATATATGTGTGTGTGTGTGTGTGTATGGGGGGTCTCTCTATTTCTTTCTGTTTTTTCTCTCTCTTTGTTCATCTCTCTCTGTTGTCTCTCTCTCTCTTCTCTCTCTCTCTCTCTCTCTCACACACACACACACACAGTTTCTCTCTGTTCTCTCTCTCTTTCTCCCTCTCTCTCCATCTCTCTGTCTCTCTTTCTCTCTCTCTCTCTCTCTCTCTGCCTGTGTTTTCTTTCCCTCACTCTGTATTTCTCTCTCACTGTCTTATCTCTCTCTCCCTCACTCACTGTTTCTCTCTCTGTCTTCTCTCTCTCTCCCCTTCTCTCTCCCCTTCTCTCTCTCTCTCTCTCTCTCTCTCTCTCTCTCTCTCTCTCTCTGTGTCTCTCTCTCTCTCTCTCTCTCTCTCCCTCTCTCCTCTGTCTCTAAATGGTTAAGAGGCTCTCTGTGGGTGTGCCTTCTCTTTGCCATCATTGTTATTTTGGTTGCTCCCTCCTCCTAAACACCGCGAGCTCTCAGTCTGATAAGAAGTGGCGCGCGCGAGCTCTCGGCCTGCCACGTGCTCACGGGTCTCCCACACACTCTTACACACACACACACACACGGCGCGAGCGCTGAGCTCACGGAGATGCGCGCTGTACTGTGACACACTCGGAGAAGAGGGAGAGGGAGAGGGAGAGAGAAAGAGAGAGGGGGATCAGCAGATCTGGACATTTCTGGACGCGTTTATAAGCATTTGGAGCAGCCAAAGTCATCCAGCTCTGCCTTCATCTCCTCAGATAAAGGTGAGTGTTTTACCTGCCGTTACTGTGTTTGAGTGTGACGTGAACAGACTGAGTTATAACACTGCGGGTTAACTGTCTTCATCACAGCCACAGTGAGATCTCTGTCCATATGCGTCACGGTTAAAGCTGAAAGAGATCAGGGCTGAGGCGTCAGTGCGAATAAAGCTTGTTTAAGACAAATTCCGAACAGTCTGCGATGCCACCCGGTGACAGAGCAGCAGAACATTTTCTGTGGGCCAAAAGCGAATTAAAGCTCGGAGTTTTATTAACAGATCACTGCGACACAGGCCGTGTAATTACACACAAAGCACATTAGCAGGGCTTATTCTCCCTGACTAAGCTCATTGGCGAGGCTCAGACACTCTTTCCCTTCTGCTCTTTCACCCATTAGCTCCGTTAAAAGCCCTTAAGTAACGGGCCCGAGCTGCTGATCACAGAGCGCGAGCTGCTCACTGTACAGCATGCACAAACTTCATATCAACATTTCCAATCAGAGACAGTCTTTATTTCATTAATACCAGCCAATTATAGCATATCATTATTAGTAATTAAATTCAGAGTCTGTATCAGTAATGCCAATGCACATCAATTATTTAATTAATATTTACGAACTACAGACTGAATATCAGTTATATCAATCGCGCACAACGTTTATATATTTAATAGCAACGCAAAACAGTTTAAATATCAGTTACAGCAATCAAACACAAGATATTAATCAGGATATCAATAATAACAAATCGAACAGGCAATGAAAAAGGTCAAAAAATAAATCAAATAAAATGATCGTGACGCTGCCTCAGTCTATCTGAATATTTTTGTTTCAATTATTATTCAAAAACATAAACGTGGTGATTTCAGGTTCAAGCTAAAATGACTTTAATTATGATATGATTCTTTTGATCTGAAATATCACCGATTTTGAAAGGCACTGTGACTGTGATTTGTTTCTTGGATAAAAAATATTATTATTATTATTATTATTATTGTCGATAATAATAATAATAATAATAATAATAATAATAATAACATGACTCTAATCATTAGCTAAAAAATAGCCAAAATAAATACGTAAATGTACAAATCAAGATTAAAAATTTAAAAATGGGATAAACCTGTTAAAATATAGATATTTTAAAAATATGTTTCCTGATGCTGTCTCTTATTTTTATTTTCTTGACAATACATGCTGTTTATATTCATTTCTATGCTGATTTTTCCACGTACATATTGTTCATTTCGTATTAATTTTTCGATAAATAAACACAATGTTTCTTCGTTGTTCTTTTACTAAAGTTACCTTTTTTAATCTTAATGTTTTTTTCCAGACATTTCTTGTTTTTAGTCATACAGTAATTTTTCATAGGCCACAGATCTAGATTTCTTGATGTAAATTGTATGACCTCCGTCTCTCTCCTCGCTAATTTCCCTCATCTATTTCCTCCAGATCTCCACTCATGGAGTCTCTGAGTTCGCCCCTGCCCGCGGTCCGGGACTCCGGCTCTTCCCCGCGGCCCCCGGCGGAGCTGCAGTCTTTCCCGGGTGGCGGTGGCGGCGGCGCCTCTCTGAAAGCCAACCAGGTGAGCGAGACGTGTCTGTACGGCGTGCCGATCGTGTCCCTGCTGATCGACGGCCAGGAGCGCCTGTGTCTGGCGCAGATCTCCAACACGCTGCTGAAGAACTACAGCTACAACGAGATCCATAACCGGCGCGTGGCGCTGGGCATCACGTGCGTGCAGTGCACCCCGGTGCAGCTGGAGATCCTGCGTCGCGCGGGCGCCATGCCCGTGTCGTCGCGCCGCTGCGGCATGATCACGAAGCGCGAGGCCGAGCGCCTGTGCAAGTCGTTTCTGGGCGCGCACTCGCCGCCCAAACTGCCCGAGAACTTCGCCTTCGACGTGTCGCACGACTGCGCGTGGGGCTGCCGGGGCAGCTTCATCCCGGCGCGCTACAACAGCTCGCGGGCCAAGTGCATCAAGTGCGCGCACTGCGGCATGTACTTCTCGCCCAACAAGTTCATCTTCCACTCGCACCGCGCGCCCGACTCCAAGTACACGCAACCGGACGCGGCCAACTTCAACTCGTGGCGCCGCCACCTCAGACTGAGCGACAAGGGCTCGTCGGAGCACGTGTGCCACGCGTGGGAGGACGTCAAGGCCATGTTTAATGGCGGCAGCAGGAAGAGGACGATTCCGCTCAGCGGGTCCCAGTCGGCCTCTCCGCTGACGGCGCGCGGGGGCGGAGGCGCTTCCCCGGAGCTCGCGCGCAAAACGCCGCGTTGTAGTGGCGGCGGCGCGGACGACGAGCGTCCCATCCCGTGCGTGCGCGCACCCTCTTACCCGCTGGTGCCGCTGCCCAGCAAAGGCTTCGGCGCGCTGCACAAGCTGCACGCGCCTTTTTTCCCGCACCCGTACGGAGGCTTCCCCACGTTCGGCGCGTGCCAGAAAAAGGAGGGCAGCGGCGTTGGCGGCGAAGACGGTGGCGCGAGAGACACGCACAAGGCCGCTACAGCGGCGGCGGCAGCAGCGGCTGCGTTCTGGCCTGGCGCCAAGGATACGGCGCTTTACCCGGCTTTCCCGGTGTTTTGGCCCGCGGCGGGCGGCCTGCACGTGCCCGCTTATCCACACCAGCAGGTGCGCACCAAAGCGCACGCGGAGCTGGCGGTGGAGGCGCGCGAGAGTGAGCGAGGAGGAGTACCAGTAGGAGTAGGAGGAGGAGGAAGGAGCACACCTGGAGAGCGCGAGCGCTGGGCCGACGAGGACAGGTCCGCTGAGGAGGTGAGGTCTCGCGACAGTCACGTGAGCCACGTGTCCGCCTTCAGGCCCGTGCTGAGGGACGCAGAGAGCATTGCCAAGCTGTACGGCCACCGAGAGGCGCGCGTCGCTGGACCGCCGGCCGGACACCTGTCCCCGGAGCTCGCGAGCTCCAGCTCCAGCTACAGGTCGGTGTCTCCGGACGTGGACAGCACGGAGGAGCCGGACGTGGACGTGGAGTCCAACAGAGCGCCGGACGAGGAGGAGCTCCATCAGAGCCCGCTGGGACAAACCTCAAACCGGGCAGGAGATGAAGAGCCACAGGGCAGGAGCGCGAGCAGCCCGGAGCCCAGAGAGCCAGAATCCACGGAGGAGGACAGGGGGAGCGAGACCGGACCGGACAGAGACAGCCCCGCGTGCGAGGTGGGTAATAAGGGGTGGGAGACGAGGTGGACGAGCGTGGAAGTGGAAAATCGCTAGCAGTAGGTTCTGGGAACACATTTGTACCCTCACCACCACCATCAAAAATAAATAAATAAATAAATTAATTAATTAAAAGGATAATGAGTCATTTCCATATTTAATATTTTAAAACAACCAGTATTAGGGTTATTAGTAGTATGTATTAGTATTTGTATTTGTGTTTTTAAATACTAATATTTAATATTGAGTATTTCCATTAGCATTTCAGCCATAATCAGGTAATCAGTATTTTTAAGTAATAATATTTAGTATTTAAAGGCAATCAGTATTGTGACATTTGCATTACATTAGCATTTAAAAGAATAATCAGTCATTTTCAGCTAATTATATTTACTATTTAAAAGCAATATGTACAGCCGGATATACTGAGGAGCCTATTTAAAGAATAAAATCAACATATATTTATTATATATTATTGTTTAAAGCATTTATAGGTCTATGTTTAGTAATTAAGTTGATTATTAGTATTTTCCATAAATATTTAAAGACATCTAGTGTTTTCAATGGTTGATATTCAGTGTAAAAAACAGTGTTTTTAAACATAGTAATTTTCCTGTGAGTTCTATTTATTATTTAAAAAGGAATAATCAGTATTTTAAAGTTAGCGCTATTCAGAATTAAAGTGAGTCTATGGGGGGTGAAAAGCCTCAGAGGAATAATTGCAGTAAATTGAGTAAATGGAGCTGAATAGCTGGCCAGGTGTAATTCTGGCCTGAGGGCTCAGACGTGTTTGTGGAAAGGCTCCCCTGTGACTGCACAGCCAAAATACCCTCTTTGTCATTTTCACTGATCCAGTTGAAGCTTCAGTTTGAGTAATTTGCTTTAATGACATTGTGGTATAAAGCTGATGATCATTGGAGGGCTGAGCAGTGAAGAGGCTGCAGTAGGAGAGGAGGAACTGAGCTGAACTGAGCTGAAAGGTCTGGGTTGGTAATTAGAGCTGAACTGTTGCAGGTGTGTGAGAAGGATGCTGCTGTGTGTTTGAACCCTGCTCCTGTTCCAGCCCCCAGATACCCCCTCAGCCCACCTCCACCAGCACACGGTAAAACTGCACACCTTACACAGGGCTTCAGGGATTTATTCAGAATCATAAACACATATTTACATTTTTAAAAATAGAGTTTCAGCCACATATATTTTGATCGGGTTTCAGTGATGTCTTCAAAGGGCTACAATGACTTTTTATAGCCTACTATATTTTCACAGTTTTAATTATGTAGTTTAGTGTTTTCGCAGAGTTTCAGTGATATTCCCATTTTCATAAGGCTACTACTACATATTTACATAATTACAATAACATATTTTCATATTTTATATACGGTAACAGTGACAGTTCATAAAGTTGAAATTTGTTTTAATATTTAAATGACATTTTTAAATTATTCAATTATTCATTTATTAAATCATGTTCAGTAACATTTTTATATTATCAAGCCCCCATCGTATATTGTCTTTTTAAAATGAGGTTTCGACTAACGACGATTCAATTACACTCACACACACGTGTGTGCGTATATATATATATTATGTATTATATATTATGTATTATATAATTACACATTATGTTTGATATAGTAAATGCAGTGATGGTTCTGCACTCTCTCCTCTGTAGAGTCTCAGAGATCGAGTAAAGGCTCAGTGGAGGCGAGTGAAGGCCAGCCGGTCTGTCAGGATCAGCTGAAGGAGAGTGGGAGTGAGTATCAGACCTTCTCTCTCTCTCTCTCTCTCTCTCTCTCTCTCTCTCTCTCTCTGTTGTATTTCATCTGTACTGAGAGGAGTCTCTCTCTGATCTCAGTATTAATATCGCTGCATATTTGAAACTCAAATTATCCCCTTTTATTTTATTTATTTTCAGTGGACGCTGCACTGCGGACTGAGAGCAGATTTCAGTTCATCGGGAAAAACATTGAGAACATGGCGAAAGGTAAAGATTATTTATTTATTTATTTATTATTTGTTTAAGGCGTTTTGGTTATATATATATATATATATATATATATATATATATATATATATATATATATATATACGTTTTCACACCTTTTTACATTTTCTATTCTCAGATTGACTCGTGTACTGAACGACTGTTTGATTTTTTCTAAATGACTGTTTTGGTCTTGTTTTTTTAAAGAAAAGAAAGCAAAATCAACGTCACGCGCATTATTCACATATGTCCTTGAACTGCTGTAGTACACACACACACACACACACTCTCTCTCACACACACACACACACACACCGCTCGAGGCTGTGCTCCTCATTATCTTCCAATATCATGCTTGAGAACACGACAGCAGTTGCTTTTCTTTAACTGATCACTGTCTGTAAAACGCAGCTGAAAGCGTGACAGGACAATCCGTTAAAAAGCTCGCACTTATTTATGAGATATTAACCCGTTAATGTCCATATCTGAACATTTACATTTGGTCCTCATGCATGCATGAGCGCCAATCTGAACACAGTTCTCCAAACAGTCACATCATATGACTAAACAGCGAGAATCACTTCTCAGAATTCAGCCCTTAGTCACACCAGACTGATAATAAACTAAATCTAAACTGAATTGATCGATTTGATTGTGAATAAAGTATGAAAATGGGACGGAATCAGAACAGTGCAAATGGGTGCAGTTAGTCCTTCATTTCTCTGTAAAGCTCAGGGCTAAATTCATCAACTGGACTGAGTGAAGAAAGCTCAAAAGGTCCATATCCTACATAGATTTTATTTGGTTTTATTTTATTTTATTTTATTTTTAACTTTTATTTTTTACTTTTAATATTTCACCACTTATAAAGTTATTGTTTTTTTTTGCATCAAAAACAGTCCAAATTCATTTTCATTCATACAATGAACAGATTTTTGTTACCTGCCTCTAAGTTAACACATCTTCTACAGAGAACACACTAAAATATCAAATGTTTCTTTTCTTTAGTTTTTGTGCTTAATGTTTGTTTATTTGCTGAGTTTAACATATCGGAAATGTGACATAACCTTACATAAACCACATTTTATGTCACCCCCCCCATGTTTAATGCAGCAGATAAACAGTAAAAGTGCATTAAAATGTGCAGAAGTGTGTCTGTATGTAAATGATCTCTGCTCTGACTGCCTTTTTGTGCCATTCAAAAAGCAACTAAAACACTCCTTGTAACTTCCACTGAATTGGGTGGAGCTAAATTGCTGTGGGCTGAACAGGTGGACAGGTGCAGCTTAGTTTCCACTGTATGGACTGTGATGATGTGCTTTTAAATTAGCAATGTTTGCACAACAAACTCTTCTATTAAAAAATAAGAAAAGTAGTGAAATTCACTTTTCCGCAATATGAGTCCTTTAATATATATTTAATAATTATTCAAAAGCAAACATGTTGATCCTGTCCAACAGTTTCTTCACTGGGTTGATGAGACTGCAACAGTTTTCACTGCTTCTGATTTGATTCATTGATTCTGATTGTTGTCAAGTCAGATTGTTGTCAATTTCTTGATTAATCTATTAAATGATTAGTGTTCTTTGATGCTAATGTTCATGTAGTGCTATCATCAGAGTGTTTGCTTCAAAAAGACAGGAGTAAATGTAGATTATATGCTTAAATCAGCAGGACAGGATCCATATATTTACTTGAAAATAACATTTGAATATATTTCAAATGGCCCTTATAGCAGAAAACTGAATTTCTCTACTTTTTGCTTATTTATTGAAAGAAAATGAGCATTAAGTGAAAACACTTGCATCATGTTTCTCTATAGATGAAGTATAATGTAAGTACACTCTTAGAAAAGAGATTTCTTTAAAAACCTTTTCAAAAAGGTTCTACATAGAACCATCTACAGCACATGTTCCATCAATTTGAAGAAGAACCATTTAATCATGTAATAAACTTCTAATAATGCAAAGGCTTTTTTGAGTTTTCATGGTTCTATACAGAACCATTTTCTTTACTAAAGAACCCTTTGAAAAATAATCTTTTAAGTGTGTACTTTATTAATAGTAGTGCATTTATAAGTTCTACAAACCTCTAAGTTGATTTAATAAACCAAAAAGTGTTAATGCTGATAGGTTTACAGAATAAGGTATTAGATTATTAAGATGATAACTGTGGGAAATGAGGAACTGAAACAGGCTCCTGATGGTCTTTTATTTGTGTCTTTCTGATAGAGGAACTCCAGAAACAGCTGGTGGAGCAAATGGAGCTCAGAAAGAAAATGGAGCGAGAATTTCAGAGTCTGAAAGGTAAAACTGGACCTCACTGCCCACCTGAGTCTTCAAAACGTACTTTCCAAATTTCTGCATAATTAACAGTCATTCAGAGTGGTTTGGTGTGAAATGCTTTGTTCTAGAGAAACGTACCGAGTCAGAATTGTTCACAGTGGTGGTGATAGGAACCAGATGTGCTCCCTCGTGGAAAGTTAATATAAAAAATGGTAGCAAATATGTTGCTGAAGTCCAAGATATTGTTTTATGGTACTTTTTAGATATTCTTGTATGCACAAGTTTTGTCGACAGCAGGCCAAATTACATGCTTTTGTGCACATTCTCTCCAGAGAACACACTTCTACACATTTCAATTCACAATTACTGTTTATTTGCTGAATTTAACACAGTGGGGGGGAAATATAAAAACATAAAATGTGGCCTGTGCAAAAGTTATGGCACATTTTATAATTTATGTTATGTTTTCCACATGTTAAACTCAGCAAATCAATAGACGGTGTGCTCTAAAATCTGAAAGTTAAGTTTGTTACCTGTAGAGGATGAGTTCACTTAGAAAATCAACATGTCATTCGACTTGGGGTGTTCAAACATTTGAATTCCAGTTGAGGTGAAATAGTACTCAAATTTCCCACTGTTACCATTATCAACATTACATACAAAAATTTAGAAGACACATGTTGGTTCACTGGTGATTTTGGATGTACAAACAATGTAAATGTACCCTCAAAGGTACAACATGGTAGTTAAGGTCCAATTGTGTACAATAAATGAGTTTTAAAGGTACACTACATTCACTATATCAGGGGAAAGGGGCATACTTGAACCTTGTCATAACTTTAGTAAATAGAAAAATAAAATAAAGAGCCTGGCGTCAGGGTGAGGTGTGAAGAGGTAATGGAACTTGCTTTCTGTAATTGAAACAGAATATGGTACAATTGTGTTCCCTACTAAAGGTACTGAAGAAGGGCACCACCACATTGCCAGTGTTTACACCCTGAAAGGTACATTTTTGTGAGAGTGCATAAAGAAATGTGAGCGCACAAATTTCTCTACAACAAACCACTCCGAATGATTATGTTTACATCTCCACCACTGAATTATGCAGAAATTTAGAAAAATCAGTGAAATTCTCCCAAATTACACAGTGTTGGTGTGTAGTATGTGAGTAATGCAGTGACAGACTCAGACTGGCTCTTTAATGCCCGTGTTTGCGTGTGTTGAACAGATCATTTTCAGGATCAGATGAAGAGGGAGTTGTCCTACAGAGAGGAGATGGTGCAGCAGCTGCACATAGTGCGAGGTGAGCTGAGGAGAAATAAACAAACAAACAAACAAACAAAAACAGCTTCACAAGAGTGCTATATGTGTAGGTGGAAGAGTGATGAACTGAGGCATCATATAAACAAAGAAAATCACTAAATATATAAACATAGGCTAATATATAATTGCTTCATATATAAAAACAAGTTATTTGTTGGAACAAAATCTTGTATCTTACTTTTTGTCATTTTTCTAATTTTTTTTAACATCATTTCAACTTTACACTGAGTGAAAACTTCATGATATATGAACCAATAGAAATAACTTGGAGTTGCTTTTTACATTGACCTCTACTGTAAGTTAAGACTGTTTTCCGTTCCCCTGTTCAGTCACCTTTTTCAAGATTCAAGGTTTTGTTTTGACAGTGACGATGTGGGATTCTATATATAAAAGTGACACTTGCATATTTCTTGTACACAGTTAGAAAAAAAGGACATTGTTGAGGTAAATTTTAGTCTCCTGAGGTACAAGCAATGCAAAATGAACCTTCAAAGGTATAACATGGTACATAAGGTCCAGTTGTGTACATTAAATGTGTTTTAAAGGTACAAAACATTCATTGTCCCAGACAAAAAGGAGCATGTTTGTACCTTTTCCAAACTTTTAAGTAGAAAAATCAAGACAATGTGCAATATAGAACAAAAATTAGCAAATTAGCCAAACTTGATCTGTTACATATATAAATTTATAGCAAATCAAGTTCAACAAACTTTGATGAGTTGAGTTGGAAATGTGGTCAGTGTGGTTTAGAACCAGTATCAGTATGGTAACTTGCTCTACAGCCAACAACAACAAGGCTAGTTAATCAACCAAAAACATAGAAGATAAGGTCACGCCTAATGGAAGAAGTGTAGGAGTTAAGACAACAGAGGAGGTGAGTGACACAAGGAGAAAAACACACAGTGTGCACATAGATGGAGCCAGGATCCAATAAAATCCTGTATTCTGTGCCAGTCTCTCCAGTTGCTAATGGCAACAGATTAACCTAAATTTCAGTACAATGATTTAACTCAAAGAACCCGTTCGAATACATGAAAAAAAACAAAAAATAACTCAAAATGTTTGAGTAATGTGGGATATGTCCTGTTTTAAGCACAACAGACCTAACTGACATGGGGATGTGTCTCATGATATCAGGTGGACTTGCTTTCTTTTTTATTTGACTTGATTGACTTTGATTGATTTAATGTTTGGGATGATAACATTATTTCAACACTAATACTTTAAAGGGGGCTCCCACCGATTTTTCAAATTTCCAGCATAAATAAATTCATGTCAAATACATGAATTAAATACATGTCAACTAAATAATTCACAGTGGTTTGGTGTGAAATGCTTTGTTCTAGAGAAACATACAGAGTCAGCATTGTTCACAGTGGTGGTGATAGGAACCAGACGTCTGAAAGGGTTTCATGCCTCTAAAAGCTCCCTCCCAGACATAATTACATGAAATGCTAATGAATACACTGCCTGACGTCTGAGACATTGTTTTATTTGTGATTTAATTTGAGTGTAAAATGTATTTTATTCAATTTATTTTTAACCTTTCATGGTGGGGGGATACATGTTATGTGTTCTAAGGAAAAATAGTCCCCAAAGAAAACTACTTTTTTCAGATTGAGCACTGTCAATGTCAACATTACATTAAAAATTTAATTTAAAAAAGCTTGTGTAGGTTCACTGGTGGTTTTGGCTATATCTGTGTTTTAGACATTAGGACCCCTGGCTCTTGTCACCATCACTGTAAGGAAATCTGAGTCTGCAAGCTTCCCTGCAAATGAACCATTTTACATCAAACCATTCTGAATGACTTTGTTCATATCTCAACCACTGAATCATACAGAATTTTTGAAAAATTGGTGGAATTTCCCTTTAAATTCATTTTAAAAATAGGTCAGTTCAGGCAGTTCTGCATTTTCTGAGTGTGTACGGAGTCAATGCAACTTAAAAAATACAACTGCAACAAGCTTTTTTCACAAGTGTGTTGTGCAGTAACAAATTTGATTGGAGACAAACTGTGAAGCACTGTGCAAGAACAAAATAGCACTTGAGAGTTTTAGGTTTTAGGAGGGTCCTAAGGGAAGATTAAGCATTAAATAGATGACTAGGCTTTTTTCCCAAGTAATTGCCAAAGTTAGAGCTTTTAAACCATTTGTATAATTGAGAACTAGCAAAGAAGACTTGATCTTGAACTTGAAAAATCTTAATTTAGAATGCAGAGTTACACATATTTTATATTATTTTGATTTTCTTTCTTCTCATTAATTTATTTGTTTTTTTGTTGTTTTTTTTTTTTGCTTGCTTTGTTATTTTAGACACTTTGTGCAACGAGTTGGATCAAGAGAGAAAGGCTCGTTATGCAATTCAGCAGAAGCTAAAAGGTAATTTATAATAATGGCCAACAGAAAATATGCAGCTCATGCAGTTGGAAACCCGAATCCCACCAAAGCAAATAAATCAAATCAAATCAACTCAGATAAATAAGACATGTCAAATATGCAAGTGCTACTTTTCTTAAATCATTATAATTTCTTCATTGTGTTCTACACAACATCAAAATGACCTTGGAATCTGTTAGAGTAAGCTTGATGGCTTTGTATCAGTGATGTATTACTTTATACAGCACTGGTTTTCAGACTGGACCTCATGGACCTCCAGATGGTCCACATATTTGCTTAATTTTCAACTCCCAACATATGACTGCATAAGTTTGAACACCCCCTGTCAAATTATGTGTTTTGTTGATATTGACATTGCAAAGTACAAACTTACATATGATATTTTCTGCTCGTTTTAGTGCAAGAGTTCAACATATTAGGAAAAAAACACATAACATAAAATGTGCCATAACTTTTGCACAGGCCACATTTTATGTTTTCTTTGTTTCCCATATGTTAAACTGAGCAAATCAATTGTAATTAAAATGCATTAAAATGTGCTGAAGTGTTTCTCTGTAGAGGATGTGTTTACTTTATTTCACTTATAAATTCAACAAAACATATCATTTGACTGGAACACCCAATTGTTTCCATTAGACTGAAGGAATCAAGTAAAAAGGTGGATGATCTGGGGGTGCCTGAGGACCACTTTAAGAGCAACTGCTGCACAGCATGTCTCACTATGTATGTTCAGTGCAGTTTGAGATAAATGAGCATTCATCAAGGCTTCACTCTGCTGTATGCAGCACTAAATGCTGTTTTCTCCTAGAAGCTCACGACGCTCTACACCACTTCTCCTGCAAGATGCTCACCCCTCGCCACTGCACGGGGACCTGCACCTTTAAACCGCCTCTACTGCCACCTTAACCAGCACCATGACTGCTTTATACACCCACCAAAACCAAGAGACCTCTCCAAGGAACACCCACTCAGTCTTATTCAAAACAGACCTTCCTTATGAACACAATGACCTTTCTAAGAACTGCAGATGAGCAAGCCTCCCTGACAATGATGGAACAGTGAATTCTGCTTAAATGGACATTTATCTGGACATTAAGATGCTGCAGAAGTCCACAAGCCAGCAAAGTGGATGCCATTGGTTAAGAGCGAAATAGCTGAATTGTTATAAATATATGTATCATAGAATGATAATATATGTACAATAGAATGAAATTGTTCAGAGCTGTTTGTTTTTCTTAAGATGCCACAAACACATAAAGTGGCGATGTGCAATGTGAATTTCACAAGCTGTAATTCTTAAATGTTCATTATTTATGTGTTTTTACATTCTGTTTGGCTCCAGACTGATTGATTCACTGACGTGCTCTCTCAGATGTATATGTATAAGCACTTTAAACGGGAAAAAAGATGAGATCTACCTAATCCAAATTTAATCTACCTTTAAATCACACATATTTAAATCACTCGTTTTTCCCATCTTGCTGTGTACAGAGTAAGAATTTTGACCCAAGCACTTAGTCCGTTTTCCCCACATACACAGCTCAGACTTTTGGGAAATGGCATTATTCTCCATATATGTGATTCCTCTGCTGTGTACTATGACTTTTGGAGTGTGCTTTCAAGATTTAAATGATCTCTTTCTTCATTATTCAATAAAAGTTCCATTTGATCATTAATGTGCTGCAGAACTTTACCTTGCACCTATTGCAATTATCATCGCAAAAATACACACACACACCAGTCACTTCATTAGGTACACCACTTACCATAGGTCCACATTGTAGTTTTACATTTACAGACTGTAGTCCACTTGTTTCTTTGCATCATTTGTTAGCCCCCTTTTACCCTGTTTGTGTTGCGCTGGTACAGGTGGATCAGACACAGCAGTGCTGCTGGAGTTCTAAAACACCTCAGTGTCACTGCTGGACTGATAATAGTCCACCAAAAAAAAATATCCAGCCAACAGTGTTCTACGTAAAGCCACTGATACAGGACTAGAAGATGGCCAACACAAACTGTGTGGCAAAAGATGACCTGTTATCTCTGAATTTACATCTACAAGGTGGACCAACAAAGTAGATATGTCTAATAAAGTGGACAGTGAGTGAAAAACTTCAGCAGCCCTGCTGTGCCTGATCCACTCGTACCAGCACAACACACACTAACATGCCACGACCACGTCAGTGACACTGCAGCGCTGAGAATGATCCACCCCCCATGTAACACCTGCTCTATGTTGGTCCTGTGGGGGCCCACACCATTGAAGAACAGAATAAAAGAGAGCTAACAAAGTATGCTGAGAAACAGATGGACTACAGTCTGTAAATGTAGAACTACAAAGTGCAACTATATGGTAAGTGGAGCTGATAAAATGAATAATAAATGTAGATACAAGGTAGGTGTACCTAAAAAAAGGTGTGTAAGTGACCGCAAACGTGTGAAAGAATGGGTCGTTCTAAAGAGCTCACTAAATTTTAGTGTGGTACTGTAATAGGATGCCACTGTTGCAACAAGCCAGTTCACAATATTTCTTCCCTCCTAGATATTCCATGATTAGATGTGAGTGGCATTACTGAAAAATGGAAGCATTTAGAAACCATAGCAACTCAGCCCTGAACTGGCAAACCACGTAAAGTTACAGAGCAGGTTGCCAAGTGCTGAGGCTGACACAATAACTTCCAAACCTCCTCTGACATTAACATCAGCATAAAAACTGCGTCCGGAGCTTCTAGGCATGCGTTTCCATGGCCGAGAAGCTGCATGCAAGCCCTACATCACCAAGCACGATGCCAAGCGTCAGATGGAGTGGTGTAAAGCCTAGTGGTGGCCTAGACCTCTTAGTTCCAGTGAAGGGAAATCTTAATGCTTCAGCAGGCCAAGACATTTTGGACAACTGTATGCTTTCAAATTGGGAAGAGTTTGGGGAAGGAGGCCCTTATCTGTTCCAGTATGACTGTGCCCCAGTGCACAAAGCAAGGTCCATAAAGGCATGGCTGGGTGAGTTTGGTGTGGAAGAACTTGACTGGCCCGCACAGAGCCCTGACCTCAACCCCATTGAACGCATTTGAGGATGAACTAGAATGTGTCTGACCTCACAAGTGCTCTTCTGGATGAATGGGCAACAATTCCCACAGATACACTCCAAAATCTTGTAGAAACCTTCTGAGAGGAGTGGAAGCTGTTTTAGCTGCAAAGGGGGGACCAACTCCATAATAAAGGCCTATGGATTTAAAATGGAATGTCATAAAAACTCCTGTAGGTGTAACGTGTAGGTATCCCAATACTTTTGTCCGTATAGTGTATACGCATTACCGCATTATGAGGTCTACAAAGCTTTTAACAGATTTTACTGGCCTCTGATTTAATACTGTGTTTACTCTAAATCCAATGCTGCCATCTAGTGGATCTATCTCGAAGTACACAATACAAATTGCTCAGCGTCTTTCTCACGACTTTCAAATCTTCATGTTTGATGCCCAAAAGGAAGTTACTACCTCATTTCCTTTGCTCAAAGCCCTGGCAACAGATATGTGACGGATCCCGTTGCGAGAGTAATTATACGAGTTGGTGCTCAGCGAAACAAAGGGTTGTGTTTCAGTCCATGAATTAATTCTTTCTCTGTCTTTTCTCAGAGAACACAACGAGCTTTTAGAGCCACACGTGGCAGTGAGAGGTGTTTAATCTGAATGCGTGTCCATGAACGTTGAGCATGTGTAGGTGTGCACTATAAACGTATTTATTTAACCGCTCACATGGATTGAATCGTGTAATCTGATTGGTCAGGTGAACACCAGGTTCTGATTGGTGAATCCTATAGGCTGAGTGGCTAGTTAAACAAGACGTTGTGATCAGCTGCTTTAATTCTGTATGCTGATTAGCCAGTTGAATCCTGCACTCTGATTGGCTAGATGAATGGCGCGCCCTGGTTAGCAAGTTGAACGCTGCTTTCTGATTAGTTAGTTAAATCCTATCTGATTGGCTAATTATATGCTGTCAGTTAATTGGCTCATGTCCTCAGACTGGCTAATTGTGTCCTGCACTCTGACTGGCTAGCCTAGGGGTGCACAACTGGGTCCTGGAGGGCCGGTGTCTAGCATAGTTTGGTGATTGACCTTCTCAAACACACCTGATTCAACTCATCTGTTACCTGCCAGGTTTAGTGGGTGTGTCTGAGTAGGGGAACTGTGGTGGACACTGGCCCTCCAGGACCAGAGATGTGCACCCCTGGGCAAGTGGAATGGGGCAGTCTATTTGGCTGATTAATCTGCTCTCTGATTGGCTAGTACCTGGTTAACTGATTGAATCCTGCTCTCCGACTGAATCAAATGCTCTGATTGGCTAGCTGAAATGTGCAATCTGTTTGGCTGATTGAATGTTACTCTATGGTTGCTTGATTGAATTCTGGGTTCTGATTGGCCAATCCTGCTCTCTGGATGGCTAATTGAATCTTGCACTCTTATTGGCTCGTATCTGATTATAGCCTCTGATTTGCTAGTTGAATGCTGCACTCTGACTGAATCATGCACTGAATCATGATTGGCTAACTGAATCCTGTGCTCTCATTAACTAGAGCAATCTCACTGTCTCATTGGCTGAATGAATGCCAATAATGCCCTTTTTTGCTCATCTCTACCAAGGGTGCCAGCAAATATGGAGGGCACTGTGGATTGTTGCTTTATTTCCAATTGACGACCATTTAGCCTGTAATCTACTTACGTTTGAACAAGCATGTCGTTGCTGAAATTTGACAGAGTCTAAAGGACAGCTGCATGTTTGCAAACACATCTGAGTGGATCACATTTCATCATTATTTGGATTGCTTTTAGAACTCATGGTTCTAAATAGGAAACATTGCCTTTACTAAAGAACCCTTTAAGAAACCATCTTTTGTAAGTGTGTATGCTGGTAGATGCTGGATGTACAGTGAGGTTCCACTGCAGTTCTACTCAGTGCTTGGTCGTTGTTTGACCTGCTGCTTCTCTCAAGCTGGTCATTATTTCACGAAACAATGCTTGTATTTGAGTGTGGATTATATACTTCATACTGCTTTATAGTCCGTTTATTCTCCCCTGCTCTCTGGCTGGAAGCACTATCCGCTCCTCCTGTGTGAAAACAGTTATAAATGGCATAATTGGTGGCTAATTGATTTCCATCACGGTGGGCGGGTACATGCGAAGACGTGCGCGATGACGCAATGGCGCCGCGCGTCCCCACGCCACGTGACCGGCGTACGTCACGCCTGCGCTAGGAACTACAAGATGGCGGAGAGTGCGGAACTGAAGGTAAAGCGCTGCTCTCCGATTTCCACTCAGATTGTCAACTCAGAGTCTGTGCTCTGCCCGTATGAGTGGCTGCGATGTTCGCTAACAGCGGGTAGACCTTAGCTAGAGCCCTGAAAGCTTTCTTTAAGAGGCAGAAGTTGAACATTGAAGCCGCCTTGGCTTCTACGGTTGTTGTTGGGCAGCGATAGCTGTAACATGTTATTGTTGATGTTAAGAGAGGGAGTGAGAGAGTGAGAGGTAGAGAGAGAGAGAGAGACAGATAGAAAGACAGACAGGGAGAGGGAGAATGAACATTTGATAAATTAGAGCCCTCATCTTCTGGTTAAAGTGTCAGACAGACAGATGTTTCATAGTTAGAATGACAGCAGTATCTGAGTGCAAGAACTAGGAGTCAATGACAGAGAGAGAGAGCGAGGGGGGAGAGAGCGCTGTCCACAGCTGCCTCTCCTCAGGGGAATAGCCAAGTTTCTGGCTCTTTAAGAGAAGTTTTGTAAAAATAAAGAGACTGTGCGGCTGAGTATTCAGACACATGTATGTTTGTTTATTTGCGAATATATTTTTGTTGTGGTGTTTTTGTGATAAATGTGCATGTGATAAGGCAGCATCAGCTAGCTGCGCTAAGCTAACAGTCCTACTACTTGCTAGAATGCTCCATGGCTCGCTCGCTCGCTCGCTCTCTCTCTCTCGCGCGCGCGCTCTCGCTCTCTCTCTCTCTCTCTCGCTCGCTCGCTCGCTCGCTCACTTTCGCCTCTCTCTCTCCCTCTCTCTGTTTCACTCTCTAGTTCACTCTCGCCTCTCCCTCTGTCTCTCTCTCGCTCGCTCGCTCACTCTCGCCTCTCTCTCTCTCGCTCGCTCGCTCGCTCGCTCGCTCGTTTGCTCGCTCACTCACTCTCGCCCGCTCACTCTCGCCTCTCCCTCTCTCGCTCACTATCGCCTCACTCGCCCTCTCTCTCACTCACTGTCTCACCCTCCCGCTTGCTCGCCTCACTCACCATCTCTCTCTCTCTGCACTGTTCCTATCAGAAAATCAAGCATTATAATGTAAACGTTATATGGCCTGATGAGGAGAAGCGAATCCGTTTCTGTGTTTTGTGTCCATGTAATTAAAGATCATGGCAGTGTCAATGTGTAATATGTGTTTGGTCATATATGGTGTGTGTGGTGATGGTACCGGTTTACTAGCTGCAGTGTAGCTTCAGGATGGAGTATAGAAAACCTGTTGGGCAGGATTGTGATTTCACTTATTTATAATGCTTAATAATATTAGTAACATGTCAGTATCAGAAGGTAATTGCTGTAAAAACATTCTTGCCATAGGACAAATTCTTAGAATTGATCAGTGCTTTAAACCTGTATTTACTGATGTATTTATCGTGCTCTGGAAGAGCAGAGCGTTTCGGCAGTGCTGGGTTATTCTGCTAAAATATATGCATTTTACTCATGTTACTGTATTTCTAATACAAACAGGTTATTTTCAATTTTAAATGTTCATGTTTTGACCTCGACATCAGATATATACATAAAAATAAGGGGTATCTGTGCATATCCACTTAATATATAACTATCTAGGTAGAGTTTGAGTGTCCTTTCCACTACTTACATGTTGTGGACACTGCTGGTAAAAGTCCCTGAACACAGTGTTATCACACTACGATTCTGTTAAAGATTTATAGTAAGTGTTGCGATATGACATATCATGATATACTATGATTTATAATTTTTGCCTGCAAATTAAGGATGTTTTCGTTCAGACTAATTTTGATGTTCAAGTGTCCATGAGAATTAATGAGCATGGTTGTCTACGAGTAAGAGAAAAACGGCCAAACAAAAAAGTACTTCAGCTGAGAGTAGCGTAGGGCTGAGGGTTTGCTGTTTTCAGTGATGCACACTTAAAAAAGATGGTTCTTCAAGGGTTCTTTAGTAAAGGGAATGGTTCTGTTTAGAACTATGTTTTCTATATAGAACCATGTTATGCTTAAATGGTTCTTTGCATAGTGAAAAGGTTCTTCAGATTGATGGGGAATGTGTTATATATGGTTCTATGTAGAACCTTCTTGAAAATGGTTCTACATAGCAACATTTTTCTATTCTTATAATGTCAAGTGTGTAACAATAGAAGAACCCGTTTAGGTGCTGTATTGAACCATTTTCAAGAAGGTTCTACATAGAACCATATATAACATGTTCTTCATCAAATCAGGAATTTTTGTGTTAGATGAGTTATGGAGGCTGCCTCTTCAGATGTTGGCTAAACCTACCAGTTTTCTGGAGCTGGGTGCTGATGAGGACTCATCTTGTTCCATAAGATGTTTTATCCTCAGTGAACAGTGTATTTACATGTAAGTTTGTCAAAGAAATATATTTCTACAGTATCTAGACCTAGCAAACATCAGCTAGATGAGCTAGCCCAGTTAGAAGTAAGGCCATGCTGTCTCTGCCTTCTCGTTCAGGTCCTCAACAACACGTTTGGCAACACACTTGCATTAAATCAGTTGTATTTCAGAGAGGCACAGTGTAGTGTACAAACTTTCTCTGTTAAAACATTGAATTGTTAGTCTTCATATTTACTCCGTCTTCCCGTGATGAAACAAAATGACTACCTGACTATCTGGCTTCAGTATTGAACACTTCCGCCTCGGACAGGTAACTGATTACTCGAGTACCCAGGCGTATCCCCACCGCAGATTATGATTTCAAAAGGAAGATTTGTTTTTTAAGTTATCAGAATTGTATAGTACACAAAGTAGAAAAGGCAAAGACTCTTATTGGTACAGTATGGTGGTGTTCCTGAGCCTTGCACTGCGTTTTTGTCTTCCTATTAAAATTGGCTTACTACTACGACTGTCACGATCATGAAATTTTAGTGATGATTATTTGTGATAGAAATATTGTCATTAAGCCCTAAGTGGTTAAACAGGCTTATTAGACATCTTACTTGCTAGCTATTTTTGCTTAGTAGCTAACACTAGTTATACTATTTAATCAATACACTTATACAAACGTCTACAGTTACGCAGAATCATGCGTAGAGTTCAGCAAAGCTATGTTCCCCATGTTCCTTGTGAGACTGAAAATATAAGCAAAAAAAAACTAATTTTGCCAGCCTACATGCTAAAACCATTAGAATTAGCTACTTAGCTAACAAATCAGCAGACATTACTCAGCGCTGTGTCTAAACATGTTAAAACACCAAGTTAGAACTTTAGAACTTTGTTGTTGTTGTTGTTTTTTATAAGCTCCATGATGTTTTAATGAAGGCGTTTACTACTTTGCTTTATTTATATCTATTTTCCTCAACCCAGCACACCCAATTCACATTTTATTTGTTGCTGCATAAAAATGCAGTTGTAATAATCTCAAATAATTGCAATTATGTGACTGTGTAATACTTGTGACCAGCCTACTTATTTTTAACTTATGTTAAAAATATCAAATAAATGCTAAATATATATGCATATCAATATTATTTTCAGACAGAAAAAAGGATGCACAATTATAAAGAAATCATATCTGTTTCGGAAAACAATTTTTAAAAATCTACATGGAATATATTGTTGTATTTGCCCAACGTTTTAAAGCAGTATTTGCTTTGTGTTTGTTGTGCTCCAGAAGAGTCCAGAAATGTGCTAAAATGTCAGCATTTTATTCATTTTACTTCATCTGTAACCCTACATAAATAAATGTATTTGTCTGTAATGCTAATCTAGATAGATCCAGTCTCAATTTCTAAGTTTTAGAAATGTTTATGCATCAGTATCAGAAGATATGTACATGACAAGTATCAGGTATTGGTTATGGTCCCCAAGGCAAATATTGGTAGATCCTTACATAAAAATGATTGCAATACATTTTATTATAATATTTTTTTCTCTCTCATGCGTCTTATGACGAGTGGCCTGCTGCTGTTTTAAATAGACTGTGAGTTTGCAGTTGCGGTGCTAAACGATGCTACACAAAACTGTTTTGAAATAGAAAATGCCACTTTGCTAAACAGGTGATAAGTAGCAGCTAATGCATGAGATTCACCTTGTTTATTATGTTCTCATTCTCACAACTTGTTTTAGTGCAGAACAGGTGGCGGAGAAAGCCCCGGTTCATTAGGAGCTATGCAGGATATTGAAACTTTATACCGTCTAACAGTGTACAGCTTGGAGGAGGAAGCTCTCCTACACTGTTTCAAATGTTATGTATAAATAGTTGGTGTAGGTGTGTGTATGTGTGTGTGTGTGTTCACGCATGTGTGTACGCTGTGCTCAGAGGCCTGGACTGTGTCTGGCTGTTAGCTTCTGAATTTCTTCTTATTTATTGAAGTCTTTTTCAGTGCAGTCCACCAGCTCTGTTTGTAGTGTTTAGTGTCCTTCACTTTGACCTACTGTTTGTCCTTGATACACATTTAGGCTTGTGTCTATAACAAGCCGAGCCATATGGGGAGAGGAGTGAGGACAATCTAGCCTGTGCTTTTATTAAGTTCTGTGCATAGTTTCTAAATGCTTTTCTTCATCAGTTTCAAGCTGAAACGCTGCTGACGTTGCATGACAGTAAAATGCAAAAGACCAATCCCTGCTATTTAATGGACTTTGTTTTTGCAGAGTTGATGTTTTGTTACTCTCTGGACCACTGATGACATGGTTTAGGCTCTTTGCCTTGTTGAAATGTTAGTCTTTGGCCACAGATCTGCATGCAACACTTTGCCTTGAGTAGATACGAAAATCAAAGTGCTTAGAAAGTGATCTGAAGGTAGAACCTGTACAGCCTGAGGCTAATTGAAAGAGATAGGTTAAACTGTGCCAAAGCTGAAATCTATGAATTTTAATGTTATCTTTCGCATCTTGGTTGTGGAAAAGTCCCAAACAGCATTCCTGATTTTAAAAGCATCTTATTAAAGGAATACTCCAGCATCTTTCAGCTTAATCTTGGTCTGCCACAGCCGTGCTCGATTTTAACACATTTCCAAATTAGAGATGCAGATTTTGAGAAACGCTTTTGACTGATAACCAACC